CCATTTGGTAATATGTATCAATTACGTCGAGCCCAGTAATTCCATAATCATGGATGGGCTCAAATATTTATGTGCCTAAATAGTCTCAGTTGCATTCTTTATAATAGAAAAATACGAATTCACTGGAATCAATCAAAATACCTGTCAGTAGGGAAATGTATAAGCCAAGGTACTGGAGAGTATTATCCAGTCATCCAAAATCATGTTTTCAATATATTTAACATGGAAATAAATGTACAGTGAGATACTATATATTTTTTAAAAGGCAGCATATGAAAAGGTCGTACCTCAATTTTACTGTGTGCTTATACATTTATGAAAGATTAAAAGGAAACACATCAAAATGTTAATATGGCTTATTTCCAAGTGGTAGGGTTACAGGTGATATTTATTTCCTTACTTATAAGTTTAGATATCTATTAAATTTTCTATCATGAATATGCATCACTTTTCTAATTAGAAAAGCTACTAAAATGAATTCATAGCTTTGACAGACTACTACTGAATAGTTTTCACAATAGAAAGACACTAACTGTACTTCATGTTTTATCTCAGTGATTTCTTACTAGTAGCACTTTTACTTTTTTGCTGACTTTACAATGGACAAACAAGAACTATTTTCAAAGTTCCACTATTTAAAACTACAAATTGTCCAATAACTTTTATAAAAATCTAACAAAACTGTTAACACCCAGATACTCTTGAATAAAGATAACAGCAAAAAATTATCTCTAAGGTCTCCCAACTTATAACACAAAGGGAAGACATACTACTTTTTCCAGTCTTAATTATATATTCTTGTTGAAATAGAGAAATGCTATTATTACTTAGCTACATTTAATGAATGAATGATGTACAAACAAATGACACTTTCTCTATTTTGTTTGAAAGAACTGACTTTGTGACTAGTGTATTATTTAAAAGGCCAAATTCTCACATTATATTCTATACTACTAAAATTGTTTCAAATTCAGTAACTTTAGTATTAATAATTTGGCAGTAATAATTTTCTTGGCTCCTGTGAACTTTCTAGGGCGATAACGCAAAATATACACTTTTATAGATAACTACTTTATCTTTTTATTTTTAAACTTCTAAAGCCTGAGAGGTACTAACAGCTACAACACAGCTGACTGTCCTAAAACCATTAAATAGAACAAAATCAGTCTAAGTGAAAGCAACACTTTAATGAATGTTATATCTTACTCCATAACATCTCTGTAACAAAACACTAGAGAATGCAAAACAAACTTATAGTTAATTCCCCGCCCTGTGTGATTTCCAAAACTATTATTCAGTCTTTCTCTATGTACAGTCCAGCTAGTTCTAGGCAACAACTACTTTCCCTAAGAGAAACCTATTTTGAAGATCAAAGCTGTTCCCCATATCTAGCAAATATCACTATAGCCAGGAAAAAGAAAAAAAACATTAACTGTCCCCATTTGTCATTAAATTCTTGTCCTCTTAAGTATTTAAGTACATCACAAATGATCTTAAAATTCATCTCTTTCTAATCTCAGTCATTTTGCGGGTTCCATCTAACAATAACTTCTACATCAGTTAACTGTTCACGCCACACAGGTGGTGCTCTGTGAAGCTCATCTAGAACTATGGAGTGGACATCACAACCAGAGATTCATTATCATGATTTAGCATGCTTCTATAAACCAAAAACTGAAACCATTTCCAGATCACACTCGAAAGACAATCACTTTCATAACACGTCTCCTAAACTCTGAAGGCTCAGACAAGAAGGCAAATCAGAGGAGAGACCAGTATTTCCATTCAACCATATCCCCTCCAAACCAATCGAGCTTTTCAAGCCCACGTGGACAAACAGTGGACAGTACAGATGGTGAGTAATGGCTTTTCAAAGATAAGGACAAAAGGTTCACCTGACAGCACCTAATCCTACATAGTGGAATAAAAGCTCAGGAGTGAGACACATGGCAACAGCAAGGAAAGAGGACCGGGAACTTCTGGGGGCAGCATTCTTTGGTCCAAATCCATATCGTTTCCAGAAGTTTCCCAACTACAGACTTCTTCCTTAAAAAAGTTTTGTGGCCCTTGCTGTTACTTTGGGTACCAAAAAACCCCAAAAGATGTGAAATGATATGTATTTTGTCCACTGCAGGAAAGTTTACAAACTGGAATAAATATTTCCTCCATCACCAATCTATAAGTACAGAAAGCTCTTCATTGTTTCCCACCTTAAAAAGAACCAATTTCTCAGAAACTGATTTTACTGATGGGACTATAGCTGGAGTAGGTTTACACATTTACAAAATATCCTGTACCTTCACTTACTATTTTGCAATGAAAACAAAACAATCCCGAAACATATTTTTATACTTTTTACACATCAATTTTATAAAACACACTCTGAAAAGAGCACTTGAGGCTTTCGATTACACTGTAATTTCCCTTAGAGTAACTGTCTATCTCAAATGGTAATGTACAATAGTTTTAAGTATGCACACACGAGTACATATGAACATAATATTTTCTTTATGGAATAATATGCATTTACTACTTCTGACTAGCAATCCATGGAGACTATAGTTCTGTAAAAGACTGCTAACCTGGAATAAAAAAAAAAATTCTGAAGGTCTAGAAGCACTCAGTTACCAAATTAATCAGTGAAATACCACACCACTGAGGTATGTATCCATCCTTAATGAAGGTTCAGAGAACTATGACTTTAAAAGTTATACATTAAAAAATATAATGGTTCTTTTCAGTAGGAACTACTTATGAGTGATGTTAATACTTATGAAATAAAAAAAAATCTTAATGCTTTTAAAAATTAGCAGATATTAAGTACTGAATATCAAACACTAGCCACTTACAAACTTCATTTAAGGATTTTAGAAAAACTTAGAGGGCAACAAGTTTTAGACAGAAAGGGTCTAAACTAGCTCATGACCATAATGCTGCTTAAAAAAAAAATCAGTTTCAGTAGTATGTGGTAACTTGTCACATACTATTATACTCTTCAGCTAAAGGAATAATGAAATTCTCTCCCACCACTTCCTCCCAACAATACAAGATCCAGAAGGGAGGGATACTGGTCTTTCAAGCTATACTGATATATCCCAAGACCCTAGGACAGTGCCTGGCACACAGTCGTCAGTAATATTTGTTGAATGAATGAAGGAATGGAAGAACAGGTAGGAACAGGCAAAACCAAGAGATCAATGAGTTGACTACACATAAAGGTACAACTGGTTAATCAGAATATCCACATAAGTAAGCTGGTTAATCAGAATATCCACATAAGTAAGCTGATGTCAGATGTGAACTACTCCACATTTTAGTAATAATCTGAATTAGAAGAACTCAGACTTTAAGAATAGCTAATTTTTTCTTTAAAAATTCTTGTATTAAACTATTTAAAATTCTGAGTAATTCTAGATTCTGCTAAAAATATTCAGAACTGGTTTAGCAGGAGAACTAACATTACTCACAAAATCATAAACCCAGTTCATTGTTTCATTATAAGGAAAAACGTGCACATGAAGTTCATCAGTTCTCTTCTGTCAACATTTCTCACTTTCCTTGTACTTTCTCATGATTACTTAGGAAAAAAAACTTCAAAGATATAAAATCCCTTTAATGAGCATCAAAACATTTAATTCTCCTGAGTATATCCTACATTTATTTACATAAACCCTGAAGACTCTTCACATTGATATTAATATTTGTTATTACAACTTCAGAGTTCTGCATAAGGTGTATTTCCTTCTTCTAAATTTTAAGAATTCAGAAAGGTCCTCAAGTTCTCTGGGTCGCTTTCTTATTCAACTAGGACAATTATATTAATAAGTCTTCCCTCTAAAGTGCAAACTACACTTTAGAAAAAGCATGCTTCATGAAGTGAATACAAACCCTCTTTTCCCTCCTTGCATGATATACTGTGTTTGTGATTCTAAGAAAGGAAACCCAAGTTCTTTCTCTAGTTTTACTGTTTTAAAATCTTCTTTTCCATTGCTAGTTTGTCTGTCTTGACATGTACCTGTTACTGTAGCGACATGAGCAAGTATGTCCAGCTCCTCTGTTCCAACAGTACACTTTAATTGCTTGCCATTGGCTATCTGAATCAGATATGACATCCAAAGTTATACCCCATATACTAAACACTGCAAGGGTATGACTCAACGTAATGCTAAAAAAGAATAAGTTTCTAAACAGACTACGTTTGCTGTCCCTAAGAGTAAAGCAACTCAGGGTGGTGACTGCTCATTCTTTTGGGATTCCATGGCTAAGAAATGGAGAACCAACCGTCCAATTTGTTTTCTCTTATTTCCCTTTGATTGGCAAGGCAATTCCTGCACAAGAGAGTTTGTCAAGTGCTTTGGAAGCTTGTGGATAAAAGATGCTGTAAACACACAGAACGTTGTTGGTATGTTACTATGGAGCATTACGTGGAACCATTGTCACTGCGTGGGGGGCAGGTGGATGGCACAGCCCTTCCTGAGGAGGGGAAGAGCGGGAGAGGACAGTCCCCCTCATCGTTGGGCTGGCCATCTTTTAGGCTGGGTGATTTTTCAACCGCAGCGAAACCCCACGTGAAAAGTTACACACACACCCCAAACAAGAAGGACTTGGACAGTCCCCATGCCTGCAGGGCTGGGAGTCCCGGGAACCGAGCGGGAGCGGAGTACTAGGGGTTGGGCCTACACCCCAGGAGCGTGGGGAGAAACTGGGACCGGCGAAGGGGCCCCAGCCGCAGCCGACGCCCGCAGGGCGACCGGAGGCGCAGCTCCGGGGCGGGGGAGCGGCGCCAGACTCGGGCGACGGGCGCGGGGAACGGCCCGGGAGGGCGGCCGCGCCGGGGCCCCGCGCCGCCCAGTTGCCGGGAAGGCTAGCGCCCCGCGGCCGGCGGCGTGGGGGAGGGGAGGCCGGGCCTGCGGCCTATTGGGGGAGTTCAGCCCGGGCCTCGCGTGCGGCTCTTGGCCGGGCCCCCAACCCGGGGTCCCAGGCTCCGAGAAGAGACTCACCGGAAAGGCCCGGATCCGCATCTTGGTGTCCTTCCGGCTGCCCGTGCCTTTGCTCAGATTCGACATGGTGCTCGTCCCCTCCCCGGCGGCGGCTTCGGGTCGCGCTCCGAGGCGCCGGTGTCACATTTAAGGCGGGCGGGCAGGCGAGGGGCGACGCTGGGGGCGGCGGCGCGGCCCACGGGCTGGGCTGGGGAGCTGGCCGGACCCTGGGCGGCCGCGGCGGTGGCGGCGGCGGCTCGGGTTCCGGCGTCTCGGGCTTGGCTGGGGGGCTGCGCTGGCGCGGCGGCTCCACGGGATGCCCCTCACGCCCGGCTCGGCTCCCTTTATCGCGCTCCTCCGCGATGGCGGCGGCGGCGGCGACGGACAAACATCTCACTGCGCAGGCCGAACGTCCTCCTCCTCCTCCTTCTCCTCCTCCGCCTCAGCGAGACGAGATCCGGCCCAGAGGGTGGAGGGGGGAGGAGGGAGGGAAGAGAGCCGGAGAGTGGAGAGATTGGGAGGAGGGGGGTGGGAGGACGACAAGGGGAAGCGGGCGGCCGCTGCGGGGGACGCTCAGATCTCGCGAGAAGAGGGCGAGTGCTCTGTCCTGGGTTGGGCGGGGCGAGGCCTGGGAGCGGGAGGGGGCAACGGGAGGAGAGGAGGGGAACCGGTAGTTGGGGAGGTGGGGGGGACCAGAGGGGCGGGGAGGTAGGAAAGGGGCGGGACTGAGGCGGGAGGTGTAAGCTGACTTTTTGAAAGGGGATCGTTGGAGACCGGATCCTGGGCGAGGTGGCTGCTGATTGGTGGACCGCGGCGCGGTCCCTGTTCACGTGGACGGAGTGGGCGGGGGAAGTTCGGAGAGCCGGAGCAGTAGGACTGTAGTAGGCTGGATCCGGCTCCGCCGGGCTGGGCTGGCTGGGGTGGGCTGAGCTAGGGCGGGAGGCGAGTAGACTGGGGTGGAGCGTGGGGTGCTAGGTGGATAACCACGTCCTAGAACTGGTTCCTGTGTTTTTCTAGGGCATGTGGACTAGGGATGGGTACTTGACCAGATGCCAGAAAGTTGAAAGAAGAGTTTGTGCAGGAGTTACCTGCAGTGTCAGAAATTCGGTTCCTGTATGCCTAACAAAGTATTCAGATCGGATGTGCACACCCCAGCTGTCAGGATTGAGGGGTGGAAATCCACAAAATTTCCTTAAACAGCATAAGCTCTAGATTCACTGATATTTTCTGAGGGACCCAGAACTTATTAGTGTTAAGATCTCTTTTTCGTTGCCATTGAGACAACTCCCTTAACGCAGTGCAGTATTTTGGTAAATGGTGTTAAGTAGAAGATAGGATGATTAGAAACCTATCCTTAACCTGCCAAATCATTTTTACCATTACAAGAGTATGATAGACTTTGAAAGCCAAAATTTTTGTCTTTGATTCCAGTTTGCGGATAACTTGGGAAAAAAAATTTTTGGCATTGTGATCAAAAAGTCTAGTTTTGCTTTTCATTTATTATGGATTATACTTACTAATTTATCTCTTTGCCCAATTGATGTTATATTTGGATTTCTGACTGCAGAGGAATATGTGAGTTCCCACTAAAGTTTGTGATCTCATTTTAAATAAGACCCTACATTTGAAAGCTAGGGTAGTAATACTTTTTAAATTTATTTTTTAAAGCCTTTTAAAAAAAATTTGGAGTGTAATACTTTTGTAGCATTTGGAAACTGGGTATTTTATACTTTTTTTTTTAAATAAGTGGACTGAAATATACCTTTTGATTTGTTCGCTATAAGGTTGAATTTTCCCTAAATTAGCTTAATCCTGATAGCTAGATTTACCAGTGTTGTGCTTTCACCCCCTACTTGGTTGAAATGCCCCATTAGAAACATCATATTTTCTTGTTTTGTTTTCTGGTATTTGCTAATAGAACAGAGCTTAAGAAACAAGGATGTTGCTTGAAGCAGTATCTGTGTAAATACTGAAGCTAAAAATAGGTCAAGAATTTTGTTGATAAGGTAAGATTGGGAGGATTCTGATTTAAATATAAAATACTATGAGTCTTGGATAGTTTATAATCTGTATGCTGACTGAAACTCCATTTCTATAATCATTAGACTATATTAACAACCAATGTTTTTTTATTGGTTGTAGTGTCACATGGCTCAGTTTCTTTGTAATTTAAGAATATATGGGGCCATCTCTACCATTTTACTGGCTGTATTTTCTGTCTTTTGGGGCAAGGACTGGACTGTTTGTGTCTAGAGTTCCTCATCTGTAAGATGGGGATAAAAATAATATTTTCTCCTTGGGCTACTATGAAATTTAGATGATTAACACCATTTTTAAAAGGCCTGAGAGCAGTACTCAGCACCGACTCAAAACTTGTTGGCTGTTATTATCATGGGTAATTAAGGCCCAGGTTACACTATCGTCCTTTATTCAATATGTAGGTTTCTTTAAAAATGCTGTATGCTTTTATAAAATGAATCTTATTTGGATTTCACAAACCAATAAAGTATTTTTCAAAAAGCTGGGGAACCAATTTAGGGTTGACAACTTTATTTTGGCAAGTTTAAGAGCATTAAAAAGGAATAATTAACTGGAAGTAGAGACTAGTTTCATTATCTTTTTGTTGTTGTTAAGTATTTTAACCACAGAAATGGAGGAAGGTCAATTTGTGAATAGAGGACAGTTCTTTAGAACAATACACTGAGCTGATTTTTCTCCTTTCAGCGAGAACCTGAGAAAACACCATGGGCCAGCATTTAGGAGTACCCTGCATTAAGTCATATTCCCATGTAATTGTGAAGCATATAATCACCTTTTAATTAATTTGTTTTGTGAACCCAGATTTTCATATTTTGGTTTTGCTTAAGCAAAATTTAGCTGCATTTAAAAGAATCACTTTCAACGGTCTTCCTTTAGGCTTTTAACCACAAAGACCCAGAAAAACTCTTCAAAATGAATTTGTCTACCACTGCCATAAAAAAAAATCTACTGCTCATTTACTTTTTCATTTAATTATTCATTTGTTTAAGAAACATTTATTTAATGGTTGCTATATGTCAGGCACTAAGGTGAATAAGACAGATGAGACCTGCAATCACAGAATATGTAGTTCTTCCCACCGCGCCCCCCCCAAAAAAAATTTGGAAACCACAGACCCAGGTTGAATTTGGCAATAACTTTTTATATACTGCAGTACAGAAATCAGAGCTTTTCCTTTCTAGGAAATCAGCATCCTCAAAATGTCTATGAAATACTCTGTAAAGCAGCAGTAGACCATTCTTCTAGTCCCGTAGTATTCCCTGACTTGCAAATAGCAAATGAACTTTCAGGATATTTCTTTTTCTGCCACCTGCCACCTGCCACCTGATCTAGCAGAGAAAGCAGCGCTGGACTAGGAACTCACTAGATGTTACATGCCTGCCAGTTGGTATTCCTACTTACGCCGACCGTGTCCTGACCCAGGAGAACAGTGGCCCCATTTCCATTTATTCGCATGGAGCACGTGCAGTCAGAGAAGCCAGGAGGCTGAGTGGACCAGCCTCTTTTCTACATCCCAGTTTAGAAATGGGCAGTACAGACTGTGAGAAGCCAGTGAAAGGCAAGAGCTTCTTCTTGGCCATGAATTTCTAGGTATCCAGGATACCAAGCCACATGAATTACTACATCGTACCTGGTGATCTGATTGTGCAGATATTGGTTATTAAAACTGCTGACAGCCTCCCAATTCATTTAGAAAAATCTGGTCAATGGCTTTGAACGACAAAGACTGTTAGGGAAAGATGCATGTTTTTGAAATTGGAAGAGGAAGATTTATAGGTATTATCACTTCCTTGAAAAGAAGGGCTAGATCTACTTTCTTCCTTGTCTCCACCAGGCAACTAGCAAGTATTGCAGGCCATTAAATTTGTACATATTTAGAGCAGTAGCATTCATATGTGCTTTATAAGATGACATATTATAGGAGTATTTGATTGAGAACATAACCACAGACAATTACATATATAAAAACTGTAGATCTTTTCTACTTTGTTCTTACTATTTTTTTATGTGTATGTCATCAAGACAAGAAGTTTATAAGCCCTATGAGCATATGTGACAAGTTACATCTTGAATTAAAGAAAATCTTAAATGCCTATTGTATCATAAAAACCCATTTCAATTTTTATCACATTGTCATGCTAAACAAAAGCATCTCACTGGCAGCTCTGGAAACCTTCTAGTTGGCCTGGACAGTGTTCTATTTACTCCACATTTATCCAATAAATTAATATTTTGGAAATAAAAATATCTGTATATACAACCAACAAACCTAACCTACCAGAATACATATTCTCAATTAAAAATTATAGGCGTTGGGCTTCCCTGGTGGCGCAGTGGTTGAGAGTCCGCCTGCCGATGCGGGGGACATGGGTTCGTGCCCCGGTCCGGGAAAATCCCACATGCCACGGAGCGGCTGGGCCCATGAGCCATGGCCGCTGAGCCTGCGCGTCCGGAGCCTGTGCTCTGCAATGCGAGAGGCCACAACAGTGAGAGGCCCGCGTACCGCAAAGAAAAAAAATTATAGGCATTGCATTCATGTAATTTTATTTTGAAGAAAAATAATTTCCTCTTACTGATAACAGTAACTATATCAAGAAACCTCTGGGGGACAATTATGAATATGTATTGCTTTCATTCGTGACAAGTAAAGCATATGTTGAAATTTATAACTCATCAGCTCTGTCTTTGTGAAGTAAGTTAATTTTGGAGATGAGATAAAGCATGGTTCCAGAGAGCTATAAAAGTAAATAGTCTAAATTTTATGCTAGATTTAGTAATTGTGTGAATTATAAATACAACAGTCAAAAAATATAATAAAATAGTATTATCTTTAAACTTCTGCAATAAACTGTTTGTCTTTAGTTCACAGTAAACCTGTATTCTTTATTCTTACATCTTCAACTAGTAAAAATCAAAATCTGAATAAAGCAAAGGAATGGTGGTAGAGTTGAAGAATAACCTTTAAGAGACTAACAGATTAAAAAAAATTGTTGGGGCCAGTTTCTAGCCCCAAGTTGATATAATCAATTAATTCCTGGCAATAAATTGACTTGAAGTTATTGGTATCTGAATATTCTAGTTCTTGAGTGGCTGGTTATTGGGCAGAAGACCCATTGAATGGGTGGTTCTAAGAAAGGGACAACATGGCATCTTGTTAAGATGAAACCAGCATCTTTATACCTAACCCAGTTTGAAACCCTATAAAGACTTTTCATTTATAAGACCTTTAGATATGGTACTTCTCTGCTACTGGAATCCTTGTTGAGAAGTGCCTGTCTTTGCATGAACTTTCGTCTTTTGGGAAAAGTTACTTCAGATGCTTGGATTGGATTGTTAAGGCAGTCTCACATTATTTTATTA